TGTGGAGGGAAACTGGAGCAGCCTTGTCTCATGGTTCTCAACTTTCCACCCCTACCCCAGTGCACACACCATCTTGTCAAAGGATCAACTGAGGTAGGGACCTGGCCTCAGTGATGGCTTGACTGATTGAATCTCTCCATTTCTCTTGCCAGGGACAGGGAAGTAAGACATAGTCAACCTGGGTATTCAGAGAAGCCCAAAGCAGGGCAGGATAGAACCCATTTCCACAAACCTATGCATGCACACACTGCTGTACTCCTGTACTGATGATGGCTGGAATGCACTTGTGCCTTATAAAAATTAGTGTGTCACTGGCAGGGATAGTGGGACTCTGGGAAAGAGAAGGTTTGTTCAACACAGTAAAAAATATCTGTTGCTCTGAGTTACAGCAGGAATGCTGTGCCTGGAACATTCAGGGTCCTGCCTATAACTGTTGGTGCGCTCCCACTAGGGTAAGGGTAAGGTCCTCAGAAACTCCTTGCTATGAGGTACAGAGTGCAGGAAAAACTGGTTCTATGACAAATGTGTGGAGCAGAGCCAAGCAGGGGTGAACTCTAAGAGGGAAGTCATATTAATATGCTGAGTTGAAAAAGTCTCAAGTCTACAACTTCTGATATTGCCAGTCCTTTGGAAAATCCACTACTGTTATGGACTACTGGACTACATTGGAATATTTTGCTGAATTCACGCACCTACAATATTTAAATGACAATGGAATAGGCTTCTTTTACAAAACTAAACAAAAAAAGGTGATACAAATGAAGGAGCATTTTGTATCTGTACATTCAAAATAGTTAGGATAGATACATAGCTACTTTCTCTTAATTCAATGAATAGAAAGATTTGTCCTAATAGTGTTTGTGGACAGGATAGCATGTTTGCATCTTGTACTATGAATAAGCATTAAGAAGACAACAATATGCAATGTATTAATTATTGAAACTATCCTACTAATCTGTTTTGAAACTGTCTCATTGCTATTTGTTTCTCAATGAAATTATTAAAAAAAAAGGGGGGAGGGAAGTCACTAGCACCTAAGTCAGAGGGCAACTCAGCCAAGCCCTTTGAGGGTGGATGCTTTCCTGCTGTTTCACCAAGAACTGGAGAGGCATAAAATGGTGCTAGGTCCTGCTCACTGCCCTGTCCTGCCTTGGCTAAGAGGGCCTGTCAGCCAAGCCTGGGATAAGCACTAGATTCTGTGGGTTTGGCAGAAAAAGAAACAGTGAATGGAGCCTGGGCTGGTGGCTTTCCAGCCATATATTCAGAAAGGGGAGCCAGAGGGAAGAAATGGACTCATCCTTGACGTTTACCACCTCCCAAGTAATGAAAACAGTTGGTGCACGAGGCCTATAAGGGACTGTGCCAGAGCACAGCCTGTCACCGGCATGTGCCTTTGGAAGGCACAACAGGAAGATGCTTAAGGTTTCAGGCAGTCAAGTGGTCCACAGGAGGTAACTGCATGGCTGCTTAGAATCAGACAGGGATGACATTGCAGAAGGATCCAGGTAGAAGCTTTGGGTTATGCTACAACAACGTGCAAAGGTGTTTCCTCTTATTGTGGTTGTTATTTTGGTAGTTTTAGTTATTATGTATTTGCTGCTTCACTGGAGTGGGTCATCTTGATTGATTTGTTTCTTTTTTCTCCCTTTGGCTTTTGCTTCTTTATGGGTTGGTTATTATGCTTTAAGGTTCAAGATTTTACCCCTTGACCTGATTCCTCTTTTAGTGTTTTTCAGTCCTATTTTTTTTTTAAATTCTCTTCTCTCTCTATGCTTTCTTCTCCTGTCTTCCCTCTCATCTTTTCTACCCATGTAATAACATAAACATGACAGGATCCTATATAAGTGCATTAGGGATTAAAATTAAATAGTATTAAAAGTAAACATTTCCTTTGAAAGGCATGTCAGATTAATCCTCAACAAAACTGTGAAGAAAATCTAAATAAAATTACCTAAATGTAAATTAACAGGTACTAACAACTTCATAGCTTCTTTTAAACTCTAAATACACATCCATCTTCCTATGGCCTCCTTCATGCAAAAATAACCTTGAAAACATGCTCAACACTAACTTTTTATCCCAGCTATAAAAATAATTCCAATAGAATACAATTTCCTACCTGTTTTTCTTAGTCTGTTGAATGCTTCTCTTATCTTCCTCTCTTCCCACTTCTATATCTCCTTCTTTCCTCTGTCTCCTCCCCTTTCTTCTATCCCTTTCATCCAGAACAAACCCCTGATAGCAGTATGATACATTTGGTAAGGGGTACTGACAAAAGACTGAAATAATCAAAGCAAGTTTTAATGTTTATTGCTGATAACTGATGATGTTATATTTATATATTGCTGATGTTATATACAGGATCTATTGCTACTGTTATAACCAATAGAAATTTTCTCCTTACAACATAGTGACAAGGTCCATCCCAATTAAACTGAATAGGGTGAAGTAGCAAAAAAACCCTACCTCTGTACAAATAATGCTAAGAACACACTACTGGAAAACAGTACCTAACTGAAAAGATCCTTTTTTTTTTTTTTTGCACAACTGGGGATTGAACTCAGGCCCTTGTACTTGCCAGGCAAGTGCTTATTCTACTAAGCTATCTCTCTGGCCCTGAGATCCTCATACTGATAAACTCTTTTAACTCTGTTGACCTCAACCTTCAGCAAGCATGCATGTGTGTGTACATACATTCAAAAGTAGGAACGTAAGACAAGGAAACAAAATGCCCCCAAACACTGCCAACTATCCAAAGGGACACTAACATAGAGGAAGCAAACCCCAGACAATAAAGCTGTACAAATGATTAAAGAGGAAATAAAGAAACTTGGCAAATTCAGAGATAACTCAAAATATGGGTATCTTATACAGTAAACTGACCAATGTTCTTAAGGGGGAAACAACTGAAATCCTGAAATACTTACAAAAGTGGTTCAAAACCTGAGTGACACATTTACCAAAGAAACTTCATGAAAGGGTGCCAAGGAGAAATCTTGGAGGCAAAGAATTCTATAGCATTCAAAAACAGCAGAAATGACCAGTGTGAAGATGGTTTCAGAAACTGAGGCCAGAATGGAAATGATTTACTGAAAGAAATATTTTTAAAACTAGAGAGCAATAAAAATACAATTGACAGCTAATAGAAGATGTGAAGAAGGCTAATCAAAGGATAATTTGATTTAGAATTTAGAAGACAGCACACGTAAATAAAAGTCTGTTTATAGAGATTATAGCAGAAAACTTTCCAAGTAGGTGAATGAACCCAGAATGCAGATAAGCAAGGCTTATAGGATTTTAAATAACTATGATGAAAAAAGGAGATAATCTGGACAACGAATAGTCAAAGTCCCAGGTGTCCAACAAAGGGACAGAATCTTAAAAGATGTCAGACAAAAGCGAAAAACATCACTCATTAAAGTAAACCGATTAGCATTGTAGCAGATTTGCAATAGAAACTTTGAAGACCAGGACAGCTTTGACAGAAGTGTTTCAAGTGCCAAAAGAAAAAAAAACTTCTAACTGCAGACTAATATAGCATGTACAATTATCTTTCAGAATTGATGGAGAAATAATGATATTCCACAACAAAAAATAAGAACCTTATGACATAAATGAACACCCAAACGGTGCTCCAAAAATATTTGGAAATATTCTAGACAGAGACCAACAAAGAAAGCCAACAAAGCCAAACATAAGGTGAATAATATGAGCAGTTAAATAAAAGCAGAAAAATAAAGGAGTTAATAAAAATGACAGGAATGTCAATGTCTTTTAAGTAATAACTGTCAACTCCCCAAATAAAAGATACCAAGTGATATGGTGAATAAACAAATTCAATATCCTGTGCATTCAAGATATTCATCTAATCAAAAAAATTCATATCTTGAAAATCAAGGAATGAAGAAAAAAAAAGAAAATTAAGGAATGAAAAACAATATTGCATGCACCAGGACCCTAAAGGTAGAAATTTTATTTTCAGGTGAAGTAAACTTCAACTTAAAATTGATCAGAAGAGGTAGAGCAGGTCACTACATATCAAGTGAACAATTCAAGAGGGAGAGATAAAAATTATAAATATACATGCAGCAAATGTGGAGGCATCTAAGTTTAGTTGATGACAGTTCTGGGCTTCTCCTGGTGCCAGCACCGCCAGCCTGGTCTATTATTCGGCCCTGATGCTGCTGACTCTTGGCTCCCTTTGAGTCACACTCTGTGTTTGACTCTTGGCTTACTTTGTGTCAATCAAAATAGGTCCCCCCTACCAGGAATGAGGGGCAACTTTCCAGAGTGCTTTGTTCTTTTTTCTCTATTGTGCTCCATTTTTTTCCAGCTTCTCTGAAGTTTTTAGTTTTTCTGTTAGCTCCCTCTCCACCCATTCCTGGAGATCTACCTCTTTTTCCTCTTCATTAAGTTGTTGTTTACCAGATGTCTCCAGGTCCCCCAAGAGGTTGACTTCTCTTCTTGTCTCTGCTCTGATATTTTTAATTTCCTTCATCTCAATTTGATAAAAATTATGCATGACAAACCTATTACCAAGACCATATATAATGGATAAAAGCTGAAAGTTTTCCTGATAAATTCAGAAACAAGACAAGATTATCTACTAATACCATTCCAGTTCAACATAATGCTCCAAATATCAGCCAGGGAAATAAAGCAAGAAAAGGAAACAAAAGGGATGTGCATTGAAAGAGAAGTCAAATTGTCATTATTTTCAGATAACATGATATTTTACACATAAGATCCAAAAAAATCCCTACAAAAGACTCCTATAGCTAATATTTAGGAATGTAGCATGATACAAAATCAACACAAAATTCAATAGTATCACTGCACAGGATTAATGAGCCCTAAAAAAGAAATTAGAAAATACCATTCTAAATAACATCAAGAAAGTTTAAATACTTAGGACTTAACTTAATGAAGGAAATGAAAGGCCTGTGTAATGAAATCTATAGTATTCTAAAAAATGAGATTGAAGATTTCAAAATTTTTTTTAAAATATAGAACACTTCACAAATTTGTGTGTCATCTTTGCACAGGGGCCATGCTAATTTTCTCTGTATCATTCCAATTTTAGTATATGTGTTGCTGAAATGAGCATGAAGATCTCAATATTGGAAAGCTATACCCTGTTCCTGAATAGGCAAACTAAATATTGTCAAAATGGCCATCTTTCCAAAACTGTTCTGTAGGTTTAGTGCAATCTCAATAAAAATACCAACAGCATTCCTCACAAACCTAGAGAAAACAATCTTAAAATTCATATGGAAACAGAAGAGACTCAATAGAAAAACCAATGCCTGGGCATCATGGTGCATGCCTGTAATTCCAGCACTAGGGAGGTGTAAATCAGGAGGATCACTATGAGTCCCAGCTACATAGTGAGACCCTGCACACACACA